CCCCCCCCTCTCCCGCCTGAGGGAATGTTAGTGCGGTGGTGATAGTCACCCCGAAACTCGTGTGAGGTGAGCAGCTCAGGAAGGCCACAACCCGCGACCCTCTTCAGCATTGCCGCACTATCTTTACCTACTCTCTGCATTTCACAACTTGACCTCGCCGAGCTTGTCGCAACTACCTTTAGCATTGCGGCACTATCTTTGTGGCACTATTCTTTACGGCACTATCTTTACGGCACTCTCTTTACGGCACTATTCTTTACGGTACTATCTTTAGCATTGCAGCACTATCTTCGTGGCACTATTCTTTATGGCACTATCTTTACGGCACTCTCTTTACGGCACTATACCTTCAGCATTGCGGCACTATCTTTATGGCACTCTCTCTGCATTTCATGACTAAAGACAGTAGGTAAAGACAGTGGCCCTTGCTTTGTATTCCAGAAAAAAGGTCACAAGCTGATGCTCGTCGCCATTCCTTTCCCTTCCTTTTCCGGGAAAAGTGACATGCCTTCTAGTGCTTATCTATGCATGGCTTTCCATTGCAACAGATTCACAGACAAGCGATCACAGAGCCCTTTAGGGAGGTTATTACATGTCATCCAAGCACACCCACCCTGCCGGTGCAGAGAATTTCCCCTCCAAATGAACGTTGCAATGATCCCCATCTTTGATCACGCGAAACAACACCTTGCGCGTTGCTACAGTGCCTCCCTACATAAACTTCTACATATATCTGGACAGATTGCCTGACCACATGCATTCGGACTGATCCAAAATGTGGACTGAATCAGAACAATTATTCCCCCCTGATACATATACAAGCTCGTGCAGTGGAGTGAGGCCCTTTACTATGCGCACAGCCCAACCTGGCTGACCCTGACAACCAAGAGAATAAAAAAAAACGTCGTTCGATCTCAGTACTTCTTGCCTGTACCAGGTCTCTGCAGTTGCAGGCTAATCTCAACATGGCATGCAATTATGAATATTCCACAAAAAGCCTGATAGGTACAGTGCCCAGGAAGGAAGGGGGAGACGGTGGAAGAAAATGAACCCAAGGAGAGACTACATAGACAAGCAGACCCACCTCGCAAGCATCCCCCTTGATACAGGTGCCCATGCACCTTTATGTGCCTCCCCACTCCATCTGCCAAATGCCCATATCTTGAACGCATCGGGACTATAATGTTAGCGTTTGGCGAGTGGTGCTGCCAGGCAGGTCCTTAGCCCTCAAATGTCAAATATCAGAGAAGACATAGTTCAGCACAAAGACCGCAAAACTAGGAACAACAAGGCAGGCTGCAACAACCGCAAAAATAACAAGGCGACAGCGCAACAGATTTCAACAACAACAACAACAACAACAACAACGACGACGACGACAACCAACAACGAGGGCCTCTCAACACTGACCAAGATTCTAAATGCATCTGGAGCCAGAATCTTCCCGATAAATTTCAAAAGTCTGATCAGTCCCTCCCAACATATCCCATCCACAACGCGGTCCGTATACATGTAGAATGCTCAGTGGATCGAGCCCCAAGTTACACTGCTCCTGTCAATGACGATGACAACAACGATGCCAACCATGGCTAACAGAACATGTAAATGATCAAGAAGCACATCACAACTACACCTACGACTGGAATTTCCACGACCTTTATTTACGTCCATCAAGAACTTCTCCCAAGGACATCATGCACAGTACACACCAACATTGTTAGGCGCAACCTCTGTTGCTTGAGAAAGTTGAAAACTCTCTTTCTTTTTCTTTTTGCTTTAACATTGAGAACTCTGAAAAAAAAAAGGAACCCCATTTTCAATCCATTGAGCAAAGATCAGCATGAGAAAAACACACCCGCTTCCGGAGATCAAAACGAGAAAAAGAAGGGGAAAAAGAACAGAATGCAAAGCCATATCCCGGTCAAAAAAGCCCACAAATGAGGCAAGGGTAGGAAACCCAAAGGAACAACAAAAAAATGCTTTAAAAACTTACGCACTCTCTCCCATCAAGGCTCTGGTTATTACCAAAAATTGAAGAATCAGAATTGGCCAACTTGTTAAATGGGTTACATACAACACGCAATATATCAACGCCCTCCCCAGCGACCTTCGAAAATGGATCAATTTCCAACACGAAAAGAAAATCCCCATCGCTGCACGCATATTCCGCCACGTGCACAAAGACGCACGTGTGCATTTTGCCTGGACCGCATTTCCACATGTCCGTCGAATCGACAGCAT